TGTGTGTGTGTGTGTGTGTGTGTGTGTGTGTGTGTGTGTGTGTGTGTGTGCGTGTGTGTGTGTGTGTGTGAGAGAGAGAGAGAGGCGGTTTAGCTGTCAGCTGATTGTGAACGTCATGTTGGCCATTTCCATCTTTTGCCCTTGAAGCTTTTGCATCTGCCGATTATGAAACTATGCCGTTTCTTCTCATTGTTAAAGTGTTCTCTCTGTTTGCAGACACCAGTGTCAGCAGTTTTGATACGGGAGGCACTTAAGCTAAGAGGCAAGGATTCAGATATGGTACACACTCTATGTCCTCCCAGCATATGTACATGTATACATGTCATGCATAGCCTGCATTTTTCAATTGTTCCAAATTTCTAAAGCACAGAATCGTGCTTACATGTCATATGCCAGCATTTCTGTGCTTTAGAAAACTGACAGAAAACACCCATATCAGACTTGAGTGTTTAGCAAGGACCTGCATTCCGGAAAGTTTTAAAGCGTGACAAACAAACACTCCACCCTCTGCTCTTTGTAGGATCTGATGTGGCATTGATTGTGGTAGATGGATCTGTTGATGCCCCGATTACCGGAAGTCGGTAGACTTTGCGACCTCTCAGACGATGTGCTTACGTTCTCCTTGTGTTTGGTGAATACATTATCCTTGCACTAGCAGATTGTATTCAAACTTCTTATCCTAGGTTTGAATCGCTCTCTAGAGTTCAAACTACCATCTTCACCCGAATAGAACGCCCGGTCATTATCGCTGTATCTGGACCGAAAGTTGTGCCAAGTACAGCTATATTGAACGGGCGTTCTATTCAGGTGAAGACGGTAGTAAGTTCCTTGTGATTTCTACCTTGTGATAGTAGTGTGGTATGCATCTATATCATACTTGCAACCGCACGAGCCGCACCCGCACAGATCGGATCCGTGCGGAGATCCGTACGGGGGGTGCTCGATCTCCGCACGAGCCGCACCCGCACAGACCGGATCTGTGCGGAGATCCGTACGGGGGGTGGCCGTGCGGATTTTTTTTATTTTTTTATTTTTTTAATTTTTATAGAGGGGTCCGAGAGGTGTTACCTGGAGGGGTTATAGTACGACCTGGAGGACGACTAAGGAGAGTGGAGATGGAGGAGGAGAAGAGGTGGAGGGAGGAAAAGACCGTACATGAACCCCTAAAGTGCCCTGTACATCAAGCCCTAACGGCCCCTGTGCATCAAACCCTAAAGGACCGTCTAGATCAGCGTGACCCCTGCGCAAGGATGACAAACACAAATCGAGAAAAGGTCGAACAACAAAACCAGGGTCCTTCGGGACATCCGGCGCAATGGGAACTACACAGAGATGATTAGCATGACCCTGACGCAAGGATGACACACAATTCGAGAAAAGGTCCAAAAAAAAACAAAACAAAAAAGCTCGATAGATTGGATTATTTTCGAAATTTCGATACCTAGGTGGGAGAGGAGGAGGAGGAGGTGGACGGCGAGGAAGGGGAGGAGGAGGACGAGCGGAAGGAGGAGGAGAAGCACGCAGATGAAGGGGAGGTGGAGCAGAGGTCGTGCTAATCTTCTCTGTGTCCTTCTCAATCTTTGGGAACGATACAGAGAAGATTAGCACGACCTCTGCGCAAGGATGACACGCACAAATGGAGAAAAGGTTGAAAAAAAAAAAAAAAACTCGACAGATTTGACACCTGTGGGAGAGGAGGAGGAGAAGGAGGAGGAGGAGGAGGAGGAGGAGGAGGAGGAGGAGGAGGACGAGAATGGAGGACGAGGACGAGAGATGGAGGACGATACAGAGAAGATTAGCACGACCTCTGCGCAAGGATGATACACACAGATGGAGAAAAGGTTGGAAAAAAAAAAAAAAATCTCTCTCTCTCTCTCTCTCTCTCCCTCTCTCTCTCTCTCTCTCTCTCTCTAACACACACACACACACACACACACACACACACA